TATATATGAATATGGACATACAGAGCAATACAAATCCCATGCTCCCCGAGAAAACGAGAGGCATCGAACTTGTTCGCCGCTACGCGCCTTGTCCAAGGACCGTGGTTTTGTTTGTCATCGAAAATAGACACGACGTGAGAGTGATGGATCTTGGTGACTTGAAATAAAACAAATCTTCCATGCCACTAGTAATAATTCACCACAATTATGCTCTTTTTTTCTCTTTTTTGAGGCATACTGATTACTGAACATTGTAAAAAAGAAAGAAAAAAACACAACGTCGTCGGAGTACCCACTTGCATGTTGCATCCTTGGACGACCTGACCTGCCCGCCCTGTCCAACGACTGTGGACTGTCTGTGGTTGTGCTCGTGTGTCACTGAAAAGGAATTAAGCGACGTGACGTAGCAGCTACCAAGTTAAAGGACGAGATCGATGGCCCTTGCTCATCAATCAGGGGAAACTACCTGCAGTGTTCTTGCGTTTGTTCCATGCATGTGTGATACTCACGGGCGGTGTGTGCCTGCCGATCGGCCGGGGTCTATGGCGAGATAACGAAGGGATCGGAGTGCAGCGATTCCCTCATCGCTTGCGTTGCGCTGAAAATGACGTGATGAGGAGATGCAGATGCTTAACGCTGTCTGGCTGGCTCTGGTTGTCGATTACAGTATTCTCCAGCTGCCTTCTTCAATCAGGAAAGCAACGGATGTCCATCTGATCTTCTTTGCATCTGAGATACATGCATTAATATATGCTAATATATTACTATATATGTGTAATCGTGAAGAATGGCTATATTTTAGGTGATTGAATTTTTAGGCAAAAAAACTTACACCAACTAGCTAGTACAATTAGGACATATTTAGATACAAGAGCTAATTACTAGCTGGCTAAAAATTAGCTCCGTTGCATCAAACAGGAGGGATAGTAGGTGGGCTAGCTAGTTTTTTTTAACTAAGCCTTCAACTATTCGTCAGCCGACTAGTTACCCAACCTCATCAAATTTGAGCTATTTTTTAGCACGACTATTAAGTAGCTCTAGCTTATCCAAACATGCCCTAAGGACAAACTCATATATACGAGACAAGCTTTTTTTTCTATAACCAAATAATGACAAAATTGCATATTGTTACCGGAACAATAATAAAAATTCAGACCCTCATGTCTGACAATGACATATAGGAGAACACTAAAGCTTACCTCATGTGTATATGTGTGATCACTAAAGTCGAATGATTGGCAAATTAATTGGAGTCAATAGCTTGTTAGGTACGTACGTACTTTAATACTTTTGTGCCATGATGCTGGTGTGCTATGATGATATGTATAGGATTGGAGGAGACGATGGAGGCGTGCTGCGGGCTGGGCCCCTTGAGGGCGACGGTGGGGTGCGTCAGCAAGGAGATGGCGTGCGCCACGCCGGAGCGCCACGTGTGGTGGGACCTCTACAGCCCCACGGAGGCCGCCGACGCCCTCGTCGCCAACTGGTCCTGGACGTCGTCGTCGGACTCCGGCGCCGCCGGCGCCGCGGGCGCCACGAGCATCTGCGGCCCCATCTCTCTGCAGCAGCTGGCTGGCCGGTCGCCGCCGCCGGCGGAGGTGTAGGAAGCACTCGTACGCAAGCAAAGCGTGCGTATGGCGTGCTACACGCAACGGCTACCTAGCTACAGTAGATGCCACCAGCATGCAGGTGCTGTCACTTTTTTTTTTTGGGGTGAAAAGAGGTGCTGTCACTTTGTAATGCAGGTAGGATGCATGCATGTGTGACGAGACGGCCGGCGACTATTGGGGGTAAAGTGATAATATGCACACACGGCACGGCACACGACCACACACGTGCTGTATTGGGGTGTTCGGCTTGCGGAATTCTGGAGGAATTTGGATGGTTTGGAGGAATTTGTTAGAGAAAAATCCTGTTTCGGATGAAAAAAGAAGCGGATCAAGTCGGGTTTAAGGGCACGCGAACGGGATCCCTTGTTAAGTAGTACTCCCTCAGTTACATTTTTGGCCATGTTCGCTCCTCTTATAATCCGTCTTTTTCAGTCGGAACAGTATTTTTCTCTCACAACAAATCAGCTGAAACAGTGTTTCGGCTTGTTTTTTCAGCGAAGCGAACAGGGCCGTGTCATTTTTTACTTTTAGACTTCTTGTTTGATCGTTCGTCTTATTCAAGAAATTTATATAAATAATAAAATAAATAAATCATTATTTAAATATCTCTAATGATAAAATAAATCATAACAAAATAAATAATATTTATACAAAATTTTTAAATAAGAAGAATGGTCAAACAAGAAGTCAAAAAAATCAAAAACGACACTTTCAATAGAACGGAAGGAGTACTCCGTAGTGCACTGCAGAGAAATGGACCAATGGTGCAATGCATCCCTTAACAAGTTTAGAGAACTAAAAATACATTCTTAAAATTTATAGACCTAAATAGCATTCCTTACCAAACTAGCACTACGCCACAGCTCTAGAGCAGCGGCTGCATGGGAGTCGCTAAAACTCACTGTAGCGATGGACGGTCAAGGTCGCTAAAACATTATACCGACTGACTCCTGTAGTCGCTATAAAAGACGTCGTTTAGCTAGAGACCGGTCCCACCTATTCGGCTGGTATTAAAGTCGCTGATAAACTGGTTAAAACTATTTTGTTGTGAAAGAAAAATATTGTAGATTCTAGCTAATAAGCCAGCTGATAAGTTCAAGCGAGCAGGCCATTAACTCCGAGGTTTTGAAGGCACTTCACAATTTGTTCTGAGTTCAGTAATAAATTGGCAGTCCCGACGTATCCATTTGTTTTTCTTGTGAAATCGGGGCAAATTCAAGGGTCTTTGTTGCCCGTGATGCTGACAAAACAAGTCATCGAAAATTAGGTTGGTCTTAATGGAAGTTTTATGTCCCTGTTTTGTTTTCAAGACTTCCTGGGTTATAAACAGTATAAACAAGTTTCATCTCAATATGTGCTCGCATTTTACTGGTTTTGTTCCAGGATTTAACGACGCTTTTTTTCAGTGATAGGCTACGTTCCCGTCGACAACAAAGCTCATGTAGTGACTTCGTCAATCTCAAAATTTGCCAGTCCAGCTTAGTTCTTCGGATGTGCTCATAGGAGTAGGTGTGGGTGGATGCGTTCATAGGAGTGAGTGTGCGCTCACTAATGTGTCTGTAAGTGGGTCTAGCAAAAAAAAACTCGTTTCATCTCACGAAACTTTTTTTTTATCTCTATCTTTATTTATATTATACCATGTTAGTTTATTTAATGTCCACGAAACTAACTAACGAAAATTCTACTGAAACTGGCTTTGGTGAACGTAAGTGATCGGATGGTAGATGGAGTTTGATTATTATTGGTCCCTCGTCGTCGCTGTCGCCAACCAGTCATGCGGAGTATCACGTACGCCATCATGTATCCGTAATTCCGTACCGGCGGCGTCCATGTGCTGGCTGTCAGAAAGCAGGAGAGAGAACTGTACGGACTGAAATGAAAATAAAGTGATGTAGGATGAGCACCACTGCTGGGTACGATGGATTAGCCATAATACATAATGTTCATGTGTATATGTATCAAAATAAGGCTCCTCAATAACTATAGATAGTCAGCGTGTTGTCTCAATTTATTCCCTCTCATAGAATATTATTGAATCAGTCAAAACCAGTCAGGACAAATTAGTACACAGTACTTTTACGTACCAGTCGAACGAGGTAGAGATATATAGATAAAGTAATAATAATTAAGAATCGAGAGACTCCGATCTCGATCCAATAATACTCTTGGCATCTCCACGTGCTACAGTACAGCATCCAGCACGCAAGAAGCCAAAGCGTGACCGACGGCGACGTACGGGGGGTGGTGTCGTGTTACACGGATCCATCGGATGCCGGTCCGGACGGGGCAGCCAAGTTGGCTTGTTTTGGCTTGTTGCGTGCTGTTCCCTCGTCATGAGCAGGCAAGGACATGTACATTATGCCCTTGTTTAGTTTCACCATAACTTCCAAAAAGTTGCTACAGTACCTGTCACATCGAATATTTACGGCTCGTGCATGGAGTATTAAATGTAGATGAAAAGAAAAACTAATTGTACAGTTTGGTGGGAAATTGCGAGACGAACGTTTTGAGCCTAATTAGTCCATGTTTGAACACTATTTACCAAATAAAAACGAACGTGCTACAGTAACCCCAAAATCCAAATTCCTACAACTAAACACAGCCTATATACGAGTGGATCATAAAAACCATCTCTTTTTTTAAAAAAAATATATAATCATCTTATCCACATCTGATCTCTTTTTTTATATAAAAATGTCTGATCTCTTCTATACCAGAGTTCAATGTACGAGAGGTCCAATAACTTATAAGTGGGTTGTAGTTAGATCCATCAATTCTAAAAGTTGATTTTTTCAATATTCATTTGTTTGGCTCTTAGATTGAACTTCTATGTCCATGGATGAATGGGACGAGAGCAGGTTCGTGAGCTTTCGTGACCCGTCCGATAATGCCTTAATGGGCGATAGATCCGCGAAGATCCCGATCAATCGGTTGATATTGCGAGTCCGTCGGCTCCTACGGTTAATGATGGGTTAATTAACGAGCTATGTGGGTGGATCCGCTGGCCTGCTTTCGGTGCAAGTTTCATCATATTATTATAGGGATTATATGAGTTGGCGTTGTAGGATTAGTTTACAGTAATGGGAAACCCTGCTACTTACCTGCGTGTGGGCCGAGGTGGCAGCATGAAAACGCCAAGTCGCCCGAGTTATAGCCGTTAGAAATGAAAATCAGACTACTGCTCCTCTGTCCAAGAAAATATGCAACTATGGGTTGCCGACAAAAGTAGTCTATATTTTACTAAATTTCTAGTGAATACTATTTACATTTATGACTCCAAATTAATTTATTAAGAAAATATTTTTTTAATTAATCTAATGGTATGTATTTGATATCATAAATATTGATATTTTTTCACCGAAACATACTATAATTAATTAAACTTGAGATATTAAACATAATATCTTGTAGTTTAGAATTGTATGTTTTTACAACAAGGTCATGAAACATGGAGGAGGAGTTCCATGGGCATTCATGCATGTCTAGCCTAATTAGCTCCGTTTAAGACTGGGTGAATGATGATGATTGATTGTAACAAGTAATAATTACATAAACAATCTATCTGGGATGGCGAGAAAGTACTCTCTCTATCCCCAAATAAATCAATTCATAGAATCTGCGTTGGTCAAACTTTTTTCAAATTTAACAAATTTTATAGAAAAGAGCAACAACATTTATGATATAAAATGAACATCTTATGAGAATGTATTCTATTCTATGATAAATTTAACGTTTATGATATACTATAAATCTTAACGTTTTTTTAGAAATTCAGTTAAAATTTAAAAAGTTTGATTTAAAATAACTTAGGAATCTGTCTGATGTAATAATATGAAGACGAATTGACAGGCACGGACAAATGGCTGAGCGTGTCACGTGTAGTCTAGGTACTAGTACTACTGGAAGCGGCCGGACCGGGGCCAGGCACGGACAAATTAGCTAGACAGGCTGTTTTAGACTCAGGAGTCCACTCTGAACTTATCTCCTACCTGTTCCAACAGTGCTCATGTATCTCAATGTCCACTCATGGCTGCATTACAATCAGTAGCCATAAACTCTGTAACAATCTTAACAGCTAGATGCTGTTGAAATAAAATTTGTTTGTTGTCAAAACAAAAAGTGAGAAGAGAAGACAAGGGCCATCTGTCTCCATGTGCGTGGTACCTGCAACCTGCAGGATTTGGATCTAGCGGGAGGAATAATTCTCCCCGGCCGCCGGCGTGTTCCACGGGCCGCCAGCCGGGCGCCAGACGCCGGGGCGACGAATCGAGTGCATGCATAGGTGGCTTGGTGCTGGTATACACGGCGTGTTCGGTTCGGTGGCTATCTCCTGGGCTGGCTCTTTGAGCTAAGATAGGCTTGTTTAGCTGGGTGTTGTTCGTTTCTTTTTCATAATTTATTTGTTTTTTATCTTATGCATCGGCATGCAATAGGTGTACTACGGAATGACCTGTATTTTCTCTTCATAAAGTGCTAGAAATTAGATCACAAAACTTTGTGAAAGGCAAGCCCATTTCTGTTTATCTTTTTGTGCGAACATGTTGGTTATCCGAAATATTGATTGTAGCCTTCGGGGCTTTGGGGAAGCCACCTTAGACCTCTTAGCACGGTTGGCTTGGAAAGAACGCTTAATTTGGAGACGTGATCGAGCTTTTTGCGGAGCCAGGCCTGAATCTTGGAGCCTTTCTGCGCTCTCTCTGTCCGTCGCCCATCACCTCACGTGACTTTTCCAAGGGTAGGTGATTGATCGTCTGATCGATCGTAAAAAGTTTCTAAGATCGAACCCGCTGGTTGTTTTTCCAAAAGGTCTCACACCAAATACCCCCTGGCTTTGAAATAATCCACGATTAAGTGAGAACTTGATTATCTCCAATGAGCGCATAATGGTTGAGAAATAATGATATGATCCTCTAATAAGTCTAGTACATGTGCTAATCTAGTGGAGTCGCCTTGATGCTAAGTTTAAATTGGTTACTATAATCACCCTCATCATC